GATGACTAGAGCCCAGCTGCTCTCAGCGGCCTTATTTGTATCACTCCCTTGATTAGAACTCAGCTGACTTGCTGTCAGATTAGCGTGCCAAGTCTAAGAAGTTAAATACCATGGACGGCTGCTTTCTGGGCCAGTGACAGCCTAGTACAGTGACACATCAAAACCAGATCTTAGGAGCCAAGCCAGATGCTCCCCCAAAAGTCTGCATGTCCTGAAAGGAGACAGCTCTGCACCGTTCAAATTACTGACCAGATAGGAAGGGGCCAGGGTCTCTATCATTATAACCAAAAATGGCTTAAATAGAAGGCACACTTAGTACAGGCATTTCTGAGCCTCTTCTAAATGCTCTCCTGATTTCAAGCAAAATTCTAGGCAGCAAAGTTTCAAGACAAAAAAAGAGGTTTCACTGGAGTTTGTGATAACATGTGAAGCACAGATATTCAGTGTACACCAACAAGATTTATGTGTGTTATAACATGGCAAATACATTCCACCCAGAGACGCAGCAACCTGCTGCTTAACCCAGTGAGCCACTAAAGTAAATTCGACCTTCAAGGAATGCTTTTATAAATCCAACCTGGAATCACTCATTCTGATTCACTTTTCATTTAAGAATGGAACAGTAAAAGAATGAAACCAATGTACACTGACCAAGCCACATTTGCCACATCTGCCAAGGACTATACTTGATGCTTGTTACATAGAAGGGTATGAAATACTTTCCTGATATTCAGGGAAGTCAGGAAACTACTCAGGGTACTTGTAGGATAGGTTTCATGGGAGGGGAGATAGAATGCAGTGGTATAAAGGGTTAGAGGGGAGTAAAGGAGCAGGAAGGGTTAAACTGGGGCATGGGGTCAGTGAACAGGGTAGAGGAGGAAGTGTAGAGATGGATAAGCAACACTGAAGACCCTTAAAAAGACACACAGAAACCTACTGCAGAAGAAGGTACCTATTATAAATACACAAACATTGAGAGATAAGATGGAGTTACCCCATAGCAGGGCAACAATACCTCCACTAGATACCACAGGCTATCAAATAGAAAGCCCAGTACCAGGATTATTTGTTTTGGAGTCATTGGCCAGAGATGTCTCATAAACCGCCCAAACTACATGCTATTTCTTATGCTCTTGGTTATCCACCACAGCTTGACCATACGATCCTATTTCTGAAGATGCCATCTAATTGAGTCACAGAACACAGAGAAATCAAACTGCTACTGACCTGAAGGCTTTATTTATCTCTACAAGCTAGTTTTCATAGTGCTGAAAAGCACCAGACCTGCTACCAGAGGAGAAAACTAACCAGTAACTATTCTCAGCTATGAGGCTACAATAATGAGCGAACTGGCAAGACATATGTACTGGTATAATAATGGCACCAATATCATGGGAGTAACCAACCCCCCTTTAAATTGGATTTTATTCTCCCTCCCCAAGATGAAACCTATACCTGGCACCAATATCCAGTCAAGAACCTATTCCTAGATAAGTGAAAGGCCCCAGAGTACTTATTATTTTGCTAAATGGGCAGAGTATTAAACCAGCCCTTAATGACTCATTATTATACATATAGATCAATGATCTCTCAGTTCCCACCTGAGAAGCTTCAATTTGCAGCAGATGGTGACTAACACAGAGGCCCACAGCTGGCTGTGGAGCAGAGAGTAAGCGACTGAAGAATGCCCAGCCCTAAAGGGAATGTACGTACTATATCCCTTTCAGTGGAAGACCACACATCCAAGAATATTGGGCAGCACAAATTGGTCCTTAAGGATTAAAAATAAGGACACAAAGTTGGGTAGGTAATGAAGAGGGGTCACATCTGAGAAAAGTTGGGGAGGGATAAATATGATCAAAATATACTCTATTAAATCCCCAAAGAACTACTTAAACATAACAACAGCAAAACCTTTCCTGTCTGGCCTCTATATCATGTCATGACACTATGCAACTTTTTAAAGAGGGTAGTGGTATCACCAAAGGAACTTCAAAAACAAACAAACAAGCCCAAAACCTGAAAGGCACACACGGGGCAGCAACACTTTATGAAAAGAATTCCCAATTTCTCCATGTTCACAGCCGATTGCTTCCTGGCACAGATCAGATCATCCATCATGGAACCAAATTACGATTTCGAGCTCCCTTATTGAAGTGAGTCATTTGAAAGCTATTTCACTGTGTTGAGCCCAGAAGAGTTGATTAGCTGTGTGAGGTTATCTAAAAATGTGTTTTCCCCATTTCTCTCAAACTCTCTTGTCCCGTAAATGCAAAAACAAAGCAACAAATCGAGCTTACAAAAAATGTTGCATTTGCTCTCTATGATACCTATATAGTGCACTTCTCAAGGAGGTGAGCTACACTGGGACTTTCTAAGGGTCCAGATGACAACAGAGCGCTGACTCCTGTCAGATAAATGAGCTATTCTGGCCAAAGTGAGCTCAGCACAACAGAAGGCAAACAACTATCCTCAAACCAGCCCTCTTGAGACATCTGTGCTCAGAGCTGGGGAGCGAGCTCCATAGGATTCTGAAACCTGGAAGGTGATAGGGCTGCAATTATTTCAAAGTTCCAGCAGTGGTTCCAAAGAGAAATTGACAAGGTACAGTTTCTTGAAGGAAATCAGCTTCTTATGAACCATCCCACTTGAAAATGTATGACTGTGCTCAAGCAAGACATAGCTCTGTTGAGAGAAGCCCTATCTACTCCAATTAGTTATCAAATGCCAAAAAAAATGATGATGATTGAACAGAGCAATAGCGTAGTGTGAAAGGCCAATAAGAGAATCAACACGTGGAAATATTTAAGATTCTAACCACTATCTTTATAATAAAATTAAGCTACACTCAGAATTTCCAAATTAAAAAGAAAACAGACTTAAGAATAAAATTATGGATACAAAAAAACATCCAGTAAGGAATGTCAGCTTGAATTGCTGACTTACAAATGATGAGAGACATGACATGACAATCATCTAATTAAGCAGATAAAAACTCTACCAGGTCTACTTTAGTGAACAGGTTATAATTGCCTGAGTGTACTCTGTGGCTTGTGTTTAAAAAGTTAATTCCCACGTGCATGAAGCCAGTTGCATTCTTATGCTGACTGAAATTAGAATACAAACTCTGAGTTCCAACAACATTTTCAAAAGTGGCCAACGCAATTTTCAACCAAGCATGTGTCTAAGTACAAAAGGTCCAATAGAGCATTAAAAAATCCTGAGGCATAGTTTCTCAAAAGATATTTTACTGTTGATGTGCCTGGGGTATTTCTATGGTGCCAGAGAACTTCCTTGCTTCTCAAAAATATGACTGTTCTTGAGAACTGTCCAGTACTCTGTTTGAAGTAGACCACTAACTACTAAGCAAATCACTCAAACACGCTTGAGGAGGAGTTGCGGGACAGCCTTTTTGCTATTAAGGTAGAGCACAGAGCATAAAAACATGTCCTTGCCAAATGCCATGAAGGACATGTCCTCAGCTGTCACAAGTGAATGCATGCTTGCTATATACTGTGCTAAACAACTTTATAAACTAAAGTTCTCAATGAGCACACACGGAAATAAATGTTAGGAGAAATATGTTTATACTATATATACATATATTATATACTATGTAAACATGTCTTGGGCCAGAGAGAAATCTCAACAGGGTAAGGCGCTTGTAGCAAAAATCTGGTGACCAGAGTTTGATTCCCTGAGTCCACAAAGTGCGAGAAGTTGTCCTCTGACTAACACATATGGTGTGGCCAGTAATCCCATTCACACATCGTTCACATGGGCATGATGAAAATGATTAAGACATTTCTCTTTGTTTTAATGTATACTCTGTCTATTGTCTATGTTGGTATTGCTAGTTATTTTCTTTCCCACTGTGCTTTTATTCTGTGATTATTACAAAATTATGACCATAAACCTAATCTATAAAGGAATTATGCAAATTTAACTAAATAGTATCATTTTTCTTTATGATCAAATCTCCTACTGCTACTCAAACATTTTTATGCGTGTGAAAATTTTCCCATATGCAAACATGAAAAGTCTCTGTTGTGAACCTGGATTTTCTGTTTAAAACCACATTCAAAGATGACATTTTTATAGCTAGGATATAAATCAGAATGCTGTGTAGTTATGAAACTACATAAAAATTCTTTGGTGCTGTTCATCTTATTGTTTTCCTTTCAAAGTTATATTTTGTCAGGTCAATTTGTTTTAAGCTTTTTACAAACCTGCTTCCTAATTAGGCGATACTACCTCAAATTCTCCTGTGAAAGTACATGGGGTCATGTGTATTATGGTGTGTAAAATGGGCTACTGCAGTACAGAGGCGGGTGCCAGTGATTTCCTTCACAGAGGATGCTGATCTGTTTCAAGTAAGACCACCTAGCTCATGAAAAGTAGGCACAGGTCTGCAGTGTCACTCAGCCTCAGAGTGCTTGCTTATCACCATGAAATAAAAGTGACTTAAAGAGAAAGGACCAATAGTTGCAGCCACTGTGATGAAGCCAAGTTGCTGTTAAGCCCAAGATGCTGCTGGAGGGTATAGGTCTTATAAAACTAACTTCTCCCCTAAGCATCTTTAAAGAGATGGTTCTTGGCGTCCATCATATGTTCATCTAAAAAACAAAACCCGTCACTTACTAAGAATATGCCCAGAAGAACTAAATTGCTCACAAAAATCACTGGGTCAGTTTTCCTAAAAACATGTCAACACTGAGTCTGCCCTGGGGTACTTATGTAACCTGCATTTACATTGTTCTTTTTAACTCTGTAGTAGCTTGGAAACTTGGTAGACTTGTCAAATAATGTCCCCCAAATTTCTATTTTCTACTGTCGTTTTCATTGGCTCTCACAAAAATGCAATCTGTTACCACTATAGGCCAAAGATCATTATAGTTTAAAAAAATACACAAAAACAAAACCAAGCTGCCAATTGCCAAACTATCTGCTATCAGAATGATGGCTAGGAAAACAGTTAAGTAAAGATTACTTCCACCAACCTTTGCCTGGGCTTCTGGGGCTGTCACCTTGACAACTTTATTGCGACTTATCATTTGCTTCACCCATCTTTCCACTTGGACGTTGAACTTCATGAAAACCACATAGACAAAATAGGCTGTTAAGAGGAGTAAGCTTTCCCACCACATGATAACGTTATCCAGGAAAAATATGATCAACATGATCAAATCAATGATGTAGAAGGACACATCCCGAAAGAGTGGCCACCATGTCAGATTTAAGATTTCTCTAGAAAACAGAGCACACATGCCAATAACAAAGAGGATATTGAACACTGCCGAGCCTACGATGGTGCCTATGCCAACATTGCTGTGAGCAATGAAGACCCCTATCAGAGATGTGAAAAGCTCTGGGGCTGACCCGCCTGCAGCCATGAAGGTGGCTCCAGCCACGTCATCGGAGATACCCAGTTTTTCAGTGATGACAGTCAAGGAAGGAACAAAGAACTCATCACAGACGATGGCTAAGGCGACGAACATGTAGACCATCCCACAGACATGGAGGATGACGGCGCCTTTCCTGCGCTCCTCCAGGGAAAAGATGTCCTTTGGGTAGTCTCCCTGGGCATGATCGGTGCTGTTCTCAGCTTTGTCCTCCTGAGAAGCCGGTGGCTGTGGAGTGTTATCTTGAACCCTGTCATTCAAATCTAAGAGAGTTCTTTGACGATGGCCCTGTGCTACTCTGGGGCCACTCACCTCACTGGCTTCTCCTGTGTTGCTCTGAGTGTCTGTCTCAGTAAAGGCACTGATTGAAAAAGAGACAGTGCTCATAGCTACCAGGCCCATGACAAGGCCAATGACTCGAATTAGCTTCAGTTTTTTCCTGGCGTTACAATGTCTCCTGCAGCCAGATGGTGACTCACCGGACCACCGTTTCTCCAGGAGCCGGACTGTGGTACTTTGGTGCAGATCCATCCTGGGTCTTCTGGTGATATGGTCGTCTTCACACTTCAGACTTGGCTAGATGGTTCTGTCATACTGCTCCTTGCTTTCTAGTTAATGGTGCTTGTGGGGCCCTTCTTACAATTAGGGATCCTTATTCTTCACAGGAAGATTTCACCAACTATGCTTAAATAAAAACAACAAGGAAGGTAAGTAGGTCACCAAAATCTTATCTTTTCATAAAATAACTTTGCAGATAAGTCTTGTCCTATATATAGCATGTTACTTAACTTCTCTGTGCTTCAGTTTCCCTATTTTATTTTCTAAAGATTTCTTTTAATTTTAATTATGTCTCTGTGTGAGTATGTCCGCATGTGAATGCATGTGTCTTTAGGGGTCCAGAAGAGGCCTTAGAATTTCCTGGAGTTGGAGGTACAGGCAGTTGGGATCCATCCAACACGGGTTTTGGGAACCAAACTTGGGTTCTTTGCAAGTTAAGAAGTGCTCTTAACTTCTAAGCCATCCCTCCAGCCCTGGGTTTCCTTATTTTAAAACTGGGCAACAGAGCTAGGGTGAAGAACTTACTTAGCATGTGTGGGGCCATGAATTTGATCCCTGGGTACACACACACACACACACACACACACACACACACACACACACACACACACGAGACAGAGAGAGGGGAGGGAGGGAGGGAGAGAGAGAGAGAGAGAGACAGAGAGAGAGAGAGAGAGAGAGAGAGAGAGAGAGAGAGAGAGAGGGAAGAAGGGGGAACAGTTATAGACAATTAAATTCCTTGCCAATTAGAATTGCTTTTATTGCAATTCTCTCTCTCTCTCTCTCTCTCTCTCTCTCTCTCTCTCTCTCTCTCTCTCTCTCTCTCTCTCTCTCTCTCTCTCTGTGTACTGGGGGGAGGGGCTAAGGATTACATTCAGAGTCTCAAATGCTCCAGACAATAACTCTGCCACTGAACTACACCCTCACATATTGCTTTAGAATGAGTTAAAACATAAGTAGCACTTGGAAGAAGTGGTGGTATCTAGAATGAACTCATAATCACATATGTATAAAACCAAGTAAATATTTCAACAAATCTGATGTTAGGTTTAGACAGCTGAGATGTGTGTAAGTATAAAAATTTTATTGGTGAAAGTCAATTTATCCATTTGAAGCCATGTAACATTTTTCAGTCCTAAAATGGTCCCACTTCTTTCAGAACTAAGTTCTTGACAACTGACCATTATCCATTATGCTTTCTTCTAGAGCAATTATGTAATTCGGTGCATTTTCTGATTGAACCTATCATTTGGACAGGGTGGTTTGGGGAGGAGGTAATACTGCTTTCCGGTTCACGTAATAATCCCAAGATGTTATTTTTCATGAAGGTGTCTCTTATCAGATACAGAAAACCTGCTCTTTAAATATTTAAGCTTACAAAGAATACCCCGGGGACAGAAAAGGCTGTTTTCTCAAAACATCTAAACACTGTTTTCAGCTGGAGCTTCAGAACAGCAACAACCCAAACATTTTGGTCTTATTTTCAATAGCTTAACCAAAGCTCAGCGCAATGACCAGGAGGCTGTTTGGAGAGACCAAGTGTGTATATCGTAAACAACATGCAAGTTGCAGCAACACCTCTGTCCGTCAAATCTTCCCCCAGTAGCTCCAACACCTATCCTTTATGCCAGACATGCAAAGCACAGTTTTGATTCGCTATTCCACAGAAGAGATGGGTAAAGTACCCCACACGACTGCCCCTACAGTCAAGATTCTCTCTCTAAACAAACCTTTAATTTCCCTGTTTTTGTTTTGTTTTTCGTTGCCAATGATTTCATTTTAGGAGCATTCGCCGAGATCACTTCAGGTGTAAAATAAGCTAATTAAACACACGCCACTCACACACTGGGATTAGCTGGAGCAGAGAAAGACTAGCAGTCAGTGCAGGCTGAGTTGTCACTGCTCTTCAGATAACCCAAGCCCATCGGATGCCATGCAGGCTGCAGATGTCTATGCTTAGCACCCGTGATTAAGCAACTCTAGGGACTGTCACAGTGCAGGGTCAGGGCTAGCGGCAGGGTTTGACTCCTGGGGCACAAGATCAGCTCCAGGGTGAGCTCTGAAAACCCACTGCCTCGCTCTCTGGGATGTGCCCCCAGCTGCGCCCCAACTTTGCCTTGAATGATCTTAAACTTTTTCCATGCAGGGTCAATAAGAAAATAAAACGAAAGGGTAGCCGGACCACATCTGCGAGCCTGGAGCTGTGATGCCTCTGTGATGCTTGCTCCACTGCTCCTTCCGGGATAGCTAGTGGTGGGGGAGCGCCTTTGCGCATCTCCTCCAAGTCCGGCTCTAGCCGGTGCTCTGGATCCGAGACCAGGCGGGGTGGGCCACGCAGGGGCTGACAACCCGCGCTCCCGAGCGGAGAGAGTTGGCTAACTAGGAGCTGGGCCTGGGGCGCCACAGCCGCTGCGGGGCCACCTGTGAGGCTGCGGCGCAGCAGCGCGATGCGCACGACCCGCCTGGGGACCAGCAGCTAGGTGGCTGCAGAGCCGGAGACCCACACTTACCCGCACCGGTGAGCAGGGCTCACACGCCGGGTCGCTCAGGCTGCGCCTCCGCCGGCCTCTGCCTCCAGCGCCCGGGCCCGGGCTCGTGCTGGCCGTCGCCTTCGCCGGTCGGAGCTGGGCTCGCGAGGACACTGGGCAGCGGCGAGCGGTGGTGAGCTGGGCAGGCGGACAGGCGGACTGCGTTGGGCCCCTCCCTCTCCGCGGCGCGGGAGTAGCCGCAGCTCCGCGCCCTCCCGCCCTGCGCGCCTCCTGCGCGGGCCACGCCCGCCGTTGCCGCTTGTCAGATTTCTCTGCAGTGGGGACCGGGTCACGGTGTGCAAGCAGGCAAGGGCACAAAGGAGAAATCGTACAGGTCCCTGCAACACCCGGTTCCCAAAGCTCGAAAGTGCTGTCAAGTTTGGGGTCGCTATGGTGGCCACCTCCTCTCCAATCATCTGCTGGGATAGTGATCTCTCTTTACTATACAAAGGTGGGAAAGATGGTCATTAGAAAGGTACAGGCCTAAGGCACGTTCTTGGCCCCGGGGGGGGGGGGGAATTGAAGCCTCAGGTTTACAGGGATGAGACACTAAAGGGTCTTTTGTCTGGCAAGCTAACCTTTTGTTACCTTTATGATGACACTACCCAAGACACTGGGTCACTTTGTACCTGACAAGACTCATGCTTTGCCTCGGATTTCCAACTCAGTGCTTCTTCCTGCCTTGTTTGCAAAGATCCTCTTAACCAGGAGAAACTGAGTCCAGCTCACTGGAGATCAAGTCAAGAGTCTGGGCCAATGAGTAGGAGGTGGAACAAACTAGTTGTGGAGGGAAACATTTTTTAACATGATGGATGGGGATCCTGGGAAAACCTTGGAGGTTTTCTATACACTGGGTATCCTTCTTGATCTCCATCTTTCTGTCTCTGCAACCCATCAGAGGTTTACCCAGACGTCCATGGTTGTCTTGCCAAGTCAAGGGAAGCCTCGGGAACCTAGAGTCCCTCGTTTTGCAGCCGAACCAGATGATCAAGACTATTGTCTTACCGAGAAGTTAAAATTTTTGTTTTGAAAGTCATGGACTGAACTAAAAAGAAAACAAACAAGCCGGGTGTTGGTGGCGCATGCCTTTAATCCCCGCACTAGGGAGGCAGAGGCAGGCGGATTTCTGTGAGTTCGAGGCCAGCGTGGTCTATAAGAGCTAGTTCTAGGACAGGCTCCAAAACAATACAGAGAAACCCTGTCTCGAAAAACAAAACAAAACAAAAAAACCCCAGAAAAACAAAAAAAAAAACAAACTTTTACTTTTTGTTCTGGGAGATTTCAAACATGCACAGATGTAAGAAAAGAATACAAAAAGTCTTTCTGGGGCCATCATTGCCTTGCAAAATTATTGACTACCTGGACAGTTGTGTTTTATTTATACCTGCCCCCTTTCCTAGTGCCTTCACCATGAAGCAAATCTCAGACACTTCATTTTATTCACAAACACTTAGGAGAAGGAAGGAGTTAACCAATACTCCAGAAATGACCCAGACAGGCTCATATTGATCATGAGTCAGCTTCAACATCAGGAGGTCATGGTGGGAAGTTGCTTGATGCCCACCAATAGAAGTTCATAATGTTTCCAAAACAACCCAACAGATTGGTAGCTGTTGATAGCAGAGACAGAACCAATTCATACTGCAAAAACACTTTAGGAAGAAGAAAACAATCATGCATTTATTCTACTTTTCTGTACAAATGGAACCCTTTCAGCTTTCCCTGGCCTTGTTTTTTCCTTTTTTGACTGAGCAATCCCCCTTCTCCCCAGGCAGCAGACACTAGGAAGAAGACACTAGCTGTGTAGCAGTTTCCTCTGACATTCAAATCTTTCATGTTAGTTGGAAATTTAAAACATGGAATGTAAAAGAAGGAGGCAAAACAACAGGATAGTTTAAGACAGGAAGTTTAGAGGAAAGTGAAACAACTGGTGTTCTAAGGGGAAGTGGAACACTCCATCCTACAGAGAAGCAGCTAAGGGCCATAAGGCCGGAAATAAACAATCTAAGATAACTTCAGGAAGCCCCTGAAACAGACCAAATTCACTACCCTACCCTGAAGAGTACATAAGCAGTAAAGACTACTAAGTACTGAGGGGTATTCTCAGACCAACTAAGGGAAAACTCACAGATAAGACAAGGTCCAACAAAGTCTCCCAGACAAGCTTAGCTGCCTAGAAAGAGGCCTAGACCAGACCAATCACCTGGAAAAACCAGATATCTGTTGAAGTGCCTTGAAAACACAAAGAGCAGGCAAGTTGCCCAAAAGAAGCTTGGATGGAATGAGTGACACACATCCTCCAATTTATTGAGCTGTGGAGTATGGTCCAGGTATTGAGCTTTTGTGAACTGTCACCCTGGAAAAGTGTGGGATTTTGGTGATGTAGCTGTGTTTAAGTTATTTCTATTCCTGCAATTAACCCACCATCCATATTCATGTAAGTATCTCCAATAAACCTTACTGGTTCACCAAGTTGGACTTTAGTGCTTGTGGTAATTTGAAATAAAATGGCCCCCAGAGGGAGTGACACCTTTAGGAGATATGGCCTTGTTGAAGTAGGCATGGCTTTGCTGAAGGAAGTTTGTTACTGCGGGGGTAGGCTTTCATGTTTCTTTTGCTCTAGCTTCACTCAGTGTGACATGACACTCAGTCTACTTCCTGTTTCCTGCATATCAACCTGTAGGAGCTCCTTCTCCAGCACCATATCCGTCTGCCCGCCACTGTTCTCTCCACCATGATGATAATGGACTAAAGCTCTGAAACTGTAAGCCGTCACTTGTAGAGGGAGGCGTTTTTCCATCTATCTCTGCTCCACTGTGCCAGTTTCTCTCTGCACACTGGGTCCCTACAGCTGCCTAATAAAATTACCACTCTGAGTCTTAACATCTGTTAATCATTTAGCCAATGGCTTAGGCTTCTTACTGGCTAGCTGTCTCTTAATTAATAACCCATTTCTATTAATCTGTGTGTCACCACGTGGCCTTGACTTACCAGTGCTGATGTCCTAGTATCTTGACTGCTGGCAGCTACATGGCATCCTCCCCCGTCTTCCTTCTCCCTGCCTCTTTGTTTGGAATTCCCGCCTAACTAAATTCTACCTGATCCATTGGCCGAAACAGCTTTATTCATCAACCAATAAGAGAAAGACATAATCATAGCATACAGAGGACATCCCCCATCAGCCACCTTAATTAAATATTTTCATTTATAAGAATTGCTATGGTCATGGTGTCTCTTTACATCAATTTAAACTAAGACAGTGGTCTCTTTGATTTGTCATCCGTTCCTAGCTGGGGTGAAATTACTGTTTGTTCCTGTCTCTTCAGGGATAGTGTCACACAATACTTAAAACTCAAGAGGCAGAAGCAAGTTGATCTCTGTGTTGGAGCTAGCCAGAAAATTTTCAGGTGTAATTATGTCATATTGCTTTCTACCTCTATCAGTGTTGTTCAACTCCCTTCACCTTTGGCCCAGAGAGGTCACCAACTCTCCATTTGGTAGAAAGTGGAGTAAGACTCAGATGAAGACCAGAGTCTGCAGTATAGCCCAGGTTCATACTTGGCCACATATAACAGAAACTTAGCTTCCATGTCTTAACCAAACAAAATTATTTTTCTCAAGTAAAAAGAAACCATAAGGCATGCTATGTAGCAGTTTTTTTTATAACTATGATGCCAGTCTTAGAATCCAGAAGTCCACGCTCTCCCATCTTAATGTATAGCTTTTCTCTTTAGTGCTGCAGAGTTGTTGCCTCTTTGGGGTTATCATGTCCGTGTTCCAGACAGGAATTAAAAATAATGAAGGGTAAAAAAAAATTAGACTTCCCAGCTGAGCTTTTCCCTTTTTATTTATAGAAGAATGTTGTCATACCACACCTCCATGGGAGTGGACATGTCTGTTCATGGTCACACACTTAGCTGCAAAGGAGTATGAAGTGTTTCCTTAACTGTGTTCATATTCATGTTTTAGAGAAGCAAGACTTTGTTTGAAACAGAGGAGAAAATGGATGTTAAATGAACAGCTAGCAGTATTTGACAGCTTTAAAGTGTCTTAATTTGGCAGTTGAACAAGAACTTGACAGTGAACCGCTGTGAAAATCAAGAAGGCTGGAAGTGCATCACTGTAGTGATGGAGAGCCTTCACTTGTCTGTGCCACATTCCCCGAAGCCAGAACCAAAGGACAGCTACATCCGCCCCCTTGTTACCTGATCACTGAGAAAGGGGCGTTCTTGAGAAAACTTGGGCTGTCACACAGAAGCTTGAGCAGCTTCTTTGTCAAGAGTCAGTGGTAACCCTCTTTAGATAATTGCTAAGAAGCCTCCTTTAAAAATGATAAATAGCCTGTTTCTGCCATTTTCCAGCCTAAATGAAGAGTTACTTAAGGATGGCTTTCTTTGGCTCATTTTGACGCATATTATTTACCCAATGAAAAATGTCTATTTTTTGAAAATACTGAAATTTATCAAGATTTTGAATGGAGAAATAGGGGTTCCTCCTCCTGGTATTTTACATAGAATTGCAATTTATACATTACCCATGATCTTCCATTTCTAATCAATGTCAGATAATTAATACCAATTGCTTTCTTAAAAATATGAAATATGGAGACCAGGAAACCAGCGGACCCAGGGAGACCAGGGGACCAGCTGTTGCGGCAGGATCAGGTACAACAAGCCCTGAATCCGGGCCTGTGTTCCAGTGCCTGGGGATTGCCTAGGAACTGCACAGAGCTTCCAATCCCGGTGGGAGCCAAACACCCCAGACTCCAGATCTTCTTTCCCACCTATGAGACCAGGAAACTAGCAAACCCAGGGAGACCAGGGGACCAGCTGTTCTGGCAGGACCAGGTAAAACAGGCCCTACATCTGGGACTGTGTCCCAGTGCCTGAGGATTGCCTGGGAACTGCACAGAGCTTCCAATCCCAGCATGATCCAAGCACCCCAGATTCCAGGTCTTTTCTTCCAACGACAGGACCAGAACGAGGACAAGAAATAGAAGCACTACCAGATTATTGGACTTGCTAGAACCCACCAAAAGGGAACTCTGGTCCCCTAACCACCAGACAGGTAAGGGGCTCTTTCTGCACCCACCAGAAGAAGAGATGGGAAAGAGACAATACAAAAACACACTCAGCAACAGAAAAACAAATATGACACTGCCAGATTCTAGAGACTCCACACCAGGAAG